CTTGAACCTTCTGGTGCGCCGCACCACTCTGGCACACTTTTAAGGCTCTGTAAATACATGGGGGCCAAACAATGACAACCGTCAAGACGGAGAGGAGAAAACACGTTGACGCCCTTTTAGATTTCAGTCAAAAGGTCTACTTGAAGGAGCTGGAGCCTCATGAGTTCCACAGTTACTCCGGTTGGCACGAAGCTGTGAGTACGTCCTGACCCGACACACTTCAGTGACATTCAGTTCTCGATCTGCTGCTAACGTCTTCTGACATGTGCAGGTCTGTGGGAGCCGATCCTCTGAGCTGCATACTGCGGAACCAGAAGGACAGCGTCCAACCGAAGAAGGAAGCCGCAGACAAACCCATCCCGTGGTTCGCTGACCCAACGCTGGCCAATGAAAACCTGTCACCCAACGCAGCGGAGCATCACTGTGACTCTCAGACGGGCCATCGCAACGCCTGCAAGAAACCCACGTCCACGAACCCGCAGGCAGAGTCGCTGTGCATCGACGCCTCCATGGAGGCTCTGAGACTCAACGAACCAGATTCCCGGCTCTACGACGCCCTGCAGGATAGTACGTTGTTGAAAAGGTTGGAGGAGGAGGGGTTTCCCAAAGAGGCTTCCTTCCACCCCCACCTGCCCCTGAAGGCCTCCAACAAAACAACCAAGACCAAGAAAAGCAAACACAAGGGCAAAACTGGTGCTAAGAAAGCTCACAAGACCAACAACACTCTGGTGCCCATCACTAACTTCACAGTCACCATGCCTGAGCCGCCTAGTGGCGGAAAGAAAGCTGCACCCAAAAAAGCTAAATGATGACGATCTGAGACTGACTTTATCAGCGTCGATGAAAAGTTTTATTTTGAAAACAGAACATACAAGAGAGGATGTTTGGGTTTGTTTTCACTGAGATGGTCAACGAATGTGAAGCAGAAAAGTTCCAGGACAGATGTGACAGTTTGAGACATGTCTCTCAGGCGTCTCCGACAGATTTGACAAGTTTTATTTTTTGTCAAACTTTGTGTTTTGTTGCATTTTTATTTGATTCACTTGAACAAAACCTGTAAAAGACACAAGAGCTTTGTGACTGGTTTTGATCAGATTTTTATTCATTTTCTTTTTGTCTTTTCCCTAAAACTGAAAGAAACTTTGAAAGTAACTGGAGTCCTTAGACGAGACAGAGAAGCAGCTCGTGACCTGGAGCAAAAAAAACATCGCAGAGAATTCTTCAAAGTCAGAACTCTCTGATGGAAACACGCGGTGCGGAAATGTTTGGGACGTGCAGAGACGAATCTTTGTTGTTTTCATTAATACGTTTTTTTTGTTTGAACTATAATTCTTAGAACTTCTTTCAGGCTGTGACAGGAGGTGGGCTGCAGAACTGATGCTGAAAAATGGTGGGAGTAGATGAAAAAAAAACTGCAAAAGCTTTTATTCTGAAACATCAGGGGAAAAGAATTCATAAAAAATACCTTAACGCTTCTAAAATCTCTGTTAATGGTCAAGAAAATGGACATTTACAGACCTGTGGTGACAGTGATAGAGATGTACAATCATTTTTTATCATATACAAATGTATCATTATTGTAATTGTATATAAATATACTGTAGTTTTAAATGCAGTGGAGACTTGAAGCGAAAGATATAAATGTGTCCACATGGGGGAGCTGAACATCCGTCTTGACATCCACACAGACAACAGTCATGTTTTATCTTTTCTTTTATTTAGACAAATCCAAATAAAAGGCACATAAAACATTGCGCATATGTTTACATATTTTTCCTCAATGGACATACATTTAAAAAAAATGTAGGAATGTTTACCTTTCTGCTAATCAGAAAGCCTAGCCTTTGTATATACAAAAATTACCATTGTTAATGTTCTAATACAAAAAGATTTTATAAAAAGGTTATTTTTCTTGCATGTCTGTCATAACTAACGTCCTCTGCTCTAACTGTTTGTACAAAGATATACATTCATTTGCCTTCACATCTGCCAAATTCATCAAACAAACTTCACAGAAAATAAAATCATGTAAAAATCCAGCTTCAAGAGGAAAAAAGAAAAATCATCATTTGGCCAAATAAACAGTTCCTCTCTCACAAAAGGTTAGGGTTCAATCTGAGCGCTTGAACCACACGCTTGAAATAAGATGAGCGTTACTTTTATCTCAAAGTAAAACTGACTCACAATTCTTAGTTTTATCGTTTAAAAAATAACAAACAAAATAGTTTGGTGACCAGAGCTGGGGGGCCCTCGGCCTCTGAACTGATGAAGGCGTCCTTCACAAAACTGCTCCGTCACGCACCGCACGTCCAGGAGAGGACGCACGGACGCGGCGTGGAGACGTCTCGCAAAGTATTTTAGGCACACTCGTTTACGGCCACTGAAGGACAAATGACGCAAAACACTAGCTTTCATCCTAATATTTTTTTGTTTTTTAGTGTTTTCTTTTCGTTAGGTCACTAGCCTTCTAATGCGCTTGTCAAACTCAAACCTACTCTGGACTAGCTCAGTCATTCACATGCAACATTGGAAAGAAAACAAAATGGAAAATAACACGACGTAGACGAGAAATGAATCCGTTTCCTAGACCTTGGTGCCACTTATCATTAGAGCTTTTTTTTTTTTTTTTTTTACCCCCCTCGGTGGAAATGAGCAGTCATGCGTGAAACAATATTCATGGGCCAGTAAAAAAAAAAAGGCAGATGTGGAACGAAACCAAACACCGTCACCGTCTCATTCCATCAAAGTGAAATGCCCTTGTTAAAGTACCACTCCTCTGTAGTGTGCAACTTCCTACAGTTTTTTGCTGCAAGTGCTTCAGAATTCCTGCACTGAAAAAAGCCCCCAACTACAAACTAACTCTCTCTGACTCACACACACACTCACACTCACACACACCCACTCTCTCTAACACAAACACACCGCGGTGCAGGGACAATTAAGGCTGTGATCACAAAAGACCTGTTCACGTGACTCAACGATCAGATCTGTGGGTCTGCGTTCATCAACGGTTTACAAAAGCACTAATCACCACAGCACCAGTCTCCAACCCCCCCCCACCCCCACCCTCAGTCCCTCCAAAAAAACCTCCTGCGCTTTCCTGAGTGAGACGTTTCCACACCTCCTTTGTGATCACAGCCTTATTTCCAGTTAGAATGAAGTTTGTTGGGTTTTTTTTTTTAAGAGTTAGAAAACTAGAAATTCATGGAGAGAGAACAGAGATCGTAAAGGACAAGGCTGGGTTCTTTTAACAGGGGGCAGTGGTGGCTGGGTGGTTAAGGAAGCGGACTTGGGTCCGGAAGGGGTCAGTGTTCGAGTCCACCAGCTGCCAAGTTGCCACTGAGGTGCACTGAGCATGGCACCGTCCCCACACACTGCTCCCCGGGCGTTGTTCACTTTGGTGATGGGTCACATGGGTCAAAAGCAGAGGTCACATTTGGTTGTGTGCAGTGGTGTGCTGTGTCACAGTGACAAATCATTCACTTTCACTTAACAACGCGCCTCTTACGTTGTTTGACGTTGCCTCGCTCCAGGTGTTTCTATCTCGTTTTTCATCCGATCACCAGGCGAACACACTGACACCAGTGGAAGCACAATTAGCGTTAGCCTGTACGTATTCTCACGACTGGACCAAGATGACTCAGAGCACAGGGTCCGTTCTGGTTCGGCGGTGGAATTGAACGTCCTTGATGAAGGAAACTCAGAGCCAGTCTTGTCCTTTCGAGTCTGTGCTCGTTTCTCTGTGCCCTCCCCATGACGGACGGCCACATCAGTGTTTGATATCAGAGTCCTAGCATTTTCCATCCTGCGGTGGCGAGAGACGGTCTCGTCTCCCGCTCTCCCACAGGCAAAAGGCAATAAAAATAGTGTTTCATATTTACAAAGAAACGATCAGTGTCTACAATTGTTGTACATTATTAAAAGACTATTCTCAGTAACCTTCCTGAGTTTGACTGACAGTGACAGATCCTATACCTGCTAAAAGTGAGCATCCTACCCCCACGAACAAACCACTATTAGTAACTTTGGAACAGTTTTTAAGTCTGATGAGCCGCCGCACAACTCTCCTGACATCTGCAAAAAAAAAAAAAAAAAAAGAAAAAGAAAAAAAGGAAATTCCTAAGAGACCAAAAGAAGAAAAAGTTTGATTTGACATTTGATAATACTGCCATTTTACGGGCTAAACCTAGAGGACATGCTTGACCCCCCCTTGGGTGTACCTTCAACTGTCATATCCTTGTATAAATACAGAAAAACAGATCCTAACAATTGCCAAAGAATATCCAGCAGTGAGGAGCGACTGGTCTACAGCTATTAAAAAAATACAGACATGGTAGAAAAATGACGGTTTGTAGTTCTAAGCAGCCGCTGAACCATCACTAAAATCCATACCACTCTCCCTCCACCCACTGGAAGCTTTGCTTATTTTTTTTTTACTTAAAATACATAAAACTATTAAATACTGATAAGTCCACTAAATTAAACATAGGGAGAAAAACTTTTTTTTGTTTATCAAATCCACCGATAGAGGAAGTGTGTAAGAACGACTCTGGCAACTCACGTCGGCTAGGATTAAAGAGCTCAGGTGTAAAAAACGTGCCCAGCGCCGTTCAACCTCTCACGGCGTGTATTTAATGCCATCTCTGCTGCAAAGCATCAGCCTCGTGATCAGCTATCAGTCACAGTAACGCAATCTGTCCACAATGGTAAAATAAAAAAGAATGTGGGACGAAGAACTGAAAATGTAAAAACTGCCCAATAATTCCATTTGTCAATTTGTGACAGCGTTTGGTTTGAGAGTCAGGAAAAACTGCCAATAATAGTAGTTACGAATTTCTTATGATAAAAATGTAATTTAAAACAATTACTACTAATGTGTAACGATGCAGACTTGCTTCTCTCACAGTTTCAGTACAAAGGATGAATGATTGGGCGCCTCTGTTTTTTTTTCTCTCTCTCATTCCATTCGTTTGTTGGTCCGAGATTCTTTTTTTTTAAAAAAATGGACACTAAATGTAAAAATTTAGCAAAAGTTTTTTAAAATCTTTGGTATAAAATTGTGTGAATTTTCTGAGTAAACAGAATCTCATCCTAAACGAGAATTCAACCGAGAAACCTCCTACGTAGGTAATTTACTTTGTAAACAGATCGTGAATTCAGTGTCTACTTTATGGCTCAATTATGAACTGAAGTGAAGTTTACTACAGAAAAAAAAGAAGAAGAAACTCAATTAAATTACAGAACAAAAAAACCTATGTAAACATATTTGATATTCCTCTGACTCACCCTATGAAAGAAGCATCTTATCACATGACTACAGCTTCATACGTGATCATGCAATGACAACTACAAAAAGGTAAAAACTATCTTTCTTTTTTTTTTTTGTTCTCCTATGAAAGTAAAAACTAGCTGGTTCTGTTACACCAGGCCCGTTCAGAGGAGGATCGGACAGATTCTCTTATTATTAGGCAGTTGAAACATTATCTGCTGTTACTGCTGCTCTACCAGGGAGGGGAGGAAGGCAGGACTTGGGATAGAAAAGGCATGCTCTCCATGGGCCGCATGGCGATGTTGAGTGGCCCGGTGATGTTCATGGGCATGGGGGTGGTGATGGCAACTGGATGGGCGATATTCATGTGAGCCGTCGTGGGGATGTTGACGGAGGCCAGGTTCACGGGGCCGGTGATGGTGACGGGGTGCTGCAGGTTGACGGGAGCCGTGATGTTGACGGTGCTGGTGGCGATGTTCATCTGGGCGGCGATGGTGACGGGGTTGCTGGCGTTGCCGAGGCGGTTCACAGCTGAAGTGATGGGTGCAGAGTTGGTGACCGGCGTGGCGGTGTTTGAGTTGTTCTGCACGTTGTTGGCATCTGTTTCAGAGAAGAAAGAACGGGTAAGACTGAAATCTGGCCTTTCTCAAGTTCCTCTCTCTCCCTCTCTCTCTGGCAGAAAGCCAACAGTCCTTGCGATTTGATGGCCGTTTAGATGGGTCACTGAAAATGACAGATCACCATTAAAATGTAATGTCAACTGTGGTAATATGGAAGTAACCTACCTTTGAGACAGTTGTCAATTAGGACTTGGAAGGAGTTATTTAAAATCTCTCCTACTGTCAACTCACCTGAAGGGTAAATTCAAAAAGCAGGATCAACAGACTTACCAGCTTAATGTTTACTTGAAAGTTTTATTTGAAACAGCACAACATTTTATAAACACATCTTAGCCTTTGCTTATGTCAGAAGCTGAATTTACACTTCTGATCATCTCAAAGGAGATCAGGGCCGGGTTTCTAAACAACAACAGAAAATGGATTGGAAAAAAAAAACTGACTAATTACTGTCAGTTGGACACGGCCGTCCAGGTCACATGGCTTATTTTAGAGGGTCACTTTGCCAGAGTGTTATGGTCCAGTTTGTGGCTTACTTTAACAATCTACTGATCCTGCTTCATGAACTTTTAAACTTCTATTAGCAAAACAAAAACTGCATCCTACAGATGCCAGTACTCAGGTCAGAAACCGATTGTGTACTTAAGAGACAATATACAGTAAAAACAAAAAACAACAAAAAAACTGGCCACGTATGTTTTGAGTGTTACGGGGTTTTTCCGGTTACTAACTACTGGATTACCTTTTCGTGGCCCTGAGTGGTTCCACTGCCAGTCACTTATGCCTATTCAGAAATACAGACACATATGGGGTTACAGGTGCACAGGGCAGCAGTGGCATCATGTAGGAATCACCTTCAAAAGTCGCCTCGGTCAAGTTCAACATGTCAGGTTTGGGGGCGGGGGGTAGCTTTGTTTATAAAAACCAAACAGATGTTTTACTGTGTAACCGGGAACATTTCCTGGGGAAAAAAATCTCTAATTTATTAAACTTTGTTGTCCATCATCCATGCAGTCTCTCAGGCTATGGCTGTGAACAGATCATATTCCTGAAATTGTGGATGAATGTGACTTTAAGAAGAAAAAAAAAACTTCTTTTAGAACAAAAAAGCTCATCAGCATTCTTGTTCAATAAATGAAAAAGGGATAAAAGATAAACAAGGATAAGAAGCACATGTAACAAACAATATATAAGAAAATGTAATAATACAAAGCTCAGAGCGTTAGTGTTGCGTATCCAAGCTAACGTTGTACGACCCATATTACTGTTGAATAAAATCAATTATCCTTGCAACCCATTAACTAATGCTACGGTTGTCAAACAATGGTAGCTGTCCCACTGGTGGTTCTTAGGTCTCCTTCTACGGGTCCACAGGAATCTGATTTCCATTAGGACTGGGTCAGTTGTTATATCTGTTGTACATTCTTGTTTGTATACACTGCGTGCAGTATAAGAATATCCAGGAGAATCAATTCTCATCTTTGTGTGCAGCACTGAGCTGAACAAGATTTTATTGTTGGTCATACTGGTGGGACGTAAAGAGCCTTCGTTCATCAGTTTGTGTTTGTTCGCCGAGCTCCAAAAAGAGGCCCAAGAATCCCGTCAGGTCTGTCAGGTCTATTTGTAATGGTTTTCTGGCCAGTAAGAAAAAAAAAAAAACTAACTTTCACTAGGGCTGGACACTGGGTAGGAAAGCTGCTCACCTTTGTTGTTACATGGGTTGTTAAAGTTGGCCTGCCCATGAGTCTTGAGGTGACTTGTGATGTAGGCAGCACTTAGCATTTTGCCGCAGATGCTGCAGGTCACTTTGCCTTCATGCCTGATCATATGGGAGCGCAGGCGGTCTTTGGTAGCGAAAGCAGAGGTACAGGCCTAAAGAAGAGAGAGAGAGAGGGAAAGAAACACGATTAAATTCTCTGATTAGAAGACAGAGAGACAGAGGTCTGGAAAAATTCTAGTGAAATTCTCATTCACATTATCAGCTGATAACTTATCAGATACAACATTTATGCAGAAGGAGAACCCGTTTATGACTCTCACCGTTACTTGGCACTTGAATGGCCTCTCTGAGGAATGTACATGCTTGACATGACAGCTAAGGTGATCAGGTCTGCAAGGCAAAACAACAACAAGAGCTTTTATTACATTTATGAACTTTTAAATGTCGTTGTTGCCTTTTTGCACCTCATTTTGTGAATTATGTACTGCACATGGATACTTTTTCATACCTGGAGAAACCTTTCCCACACACAGAACAGATGTAAGGCTTGTGAACGCCACCGTCGTGAGAGCGTACGTGGTAGGTCATGCGGTCCTTCCTCTTGAACCTCTGTTGGCAGATGGGACACTCAAATGGCTTCTCATCTGAGTGCGACAGCTTGTGGCGATTGAGGTGATAAACATCTCTGAAGGCTTTACCACACATGTCACAGCCATGGTTCTTTTTCACTGGCTTGGGGGGTTTCTTAGGGAAGTTCTGCTGCTGCTGCTGCTGTTGATGTTGCATCGGGGTCATGACGCCGGTACCTGAAGATGTCGATGTGGTGGCTGTTGTCAAGATGCCAGCAACCGTAGTGATATATGATGTGTTTCCACTGACCTCCCGGGGTACCGTGGATATGAGAGGAACCATGGTGGGGGCTGTTTGAGTTTTCTTAGGCCGTGAGACCATCTTTATACCTGTGTGGCAAGACTCGTGCCGTCTTAGGTGATAGCTGTCTCGGAAAGCTTTGTTGCAGTAGCCACAGATGAAAGGTGTTTTAGATTTAGGCTCTTTTTTGACCACGGCAACAGGATGCCCACCACCGCCTCCACCAGTCCCACTGGCCACATTGTCTTTTAGGAGTTCTGCAGCACTGACGGGGGGTTTCTGATCTAAGGGGATGGGCAGCACTGGTTTTTGATCTGGTGGCTCCGTACCAGAATTTAGCAAAGGCAAGAGGCTGTTCCCGGCTACTTGGTGCTGGTGATGCAAAGCCTCATTGGCTTGCTGAAAAGAGACAGAACCACATGCCAGGATGTTAATAAGTAGTTTTTAGCCAAACATGAATGAATCAGAACACTGGGGAAGGTCATTAGACCATTGTAGCATTTCAGACCCTATCATGTAATGTGTATAAAGTGTATATATTTTTTTCTTATGGCTGTATTTGTTGATAACATCACAAAATATACTTTTATATATACCATACTTATAGCATGGTTGCTTCTTCAAAAATAAGCGCCATGTGTCCTGAACAAGGTGTGTGTAGAACTAAGTATGAAGTAAAACCAACCTGGTTAACCTCTCCTTAGATAAGTCTTGGGGTTGCTTGTTTTTGAGTGCCATTATATTTTGTGGCAAGATGTCATTTGGCAGCTTTACCCTTTGACCCACAACAAACACACATGGTCTACAGCTCATTTGACAGCACAGCGATCTAACTGACTGTAAAAGATTAACAAATATAGTGTTTACTTTTCTTTAAACTAAAAACTATTAAACAAGTCATCTGGGCGGCAAAACTCAAAATATACAACATATGACAGGCACACAAATGCAGCCCAACAGCAGTTACAATAAACTGTGCGAGGACGACATCTTAAGTCTGCAGCTGCTGGCAGGCATTGTTCAATTGGTCATGGCAAATCCCCAGTGGGATACGAGCAACAGAAGGTGGGGGTTTATTTAAATATTTTGGGCCCGGGTAAAAGCAGAGATTCACATTGTAACTTGAAAGTTTACAACAGGTCAGTTCAGAGCTTTGCGATTGAGCCAGCCTTGTTCTTTTCTGTAATTGCTATTGGGCAGGGTTAAAGACATGACCCATGGCTTTTCAGGTTCATTCAAGCATCCCAACCCGGTCAGTCAGGAGGGGGGGGGGATGTGGTCTGAGGGGGACAGCATCCCAAGTGCTGCTTTTCCCCCTACCGTGTTCTTTTTATGGACAACACAAATCCCAACGCTGATGCTGTTATGGCCCATGGAATATTGGAGCCTGCGAGTTGGGGGTGGGGGTCCCTACTTAGTGCAGGCGGCAGCAGCATGTGTTTTGACATGGTGGAGAGAGCTGGGGATCGTTACAGGTTGTCAACTCGCCTTTATATCTGCTACACTGTAGTATTACTCAAGACAAAATCATCACTGTGATTTGCATTTCTCCAACCATATGTGTATACAAGTCTGGGATGGTTGAATGCGCTCTCCTTCACAGCAAGAAAAGACAGAGCGGCCTGCTGTTCCATTACACAGCTGAGATGATTGTGATACAAATCTGCTGTGAAGGGTGAGGTCTCTGCTAAATAAAACCACTCAAAAGGAAAGAAGGGCATGGAAATTAAGCAGAAATAGGACAAATAAACATAGTCTTCCTATTGTTTTCCCTCCCACGACAAGGCGGGATAAGGCTTCATACAGCGTCCCATTTGACTAAAGCTTTTTTAGATTTTTCCCAGTCCTACCTACACGCACACACATCAAACACTACATGTTATGTTGCAATAATGCTACAAAAAATGGTTTGGCTGTAAATATAATTTTTGTTGCAAAACCCTTCAAACCTCTAAAGAGTTGTTCAAACTGTAAACCCAACACTCATTACATAATATGTCCAAAGTAGAACTAAAGTAGTACTTTTCCTACCTCCACACACCTGCATTCATTCTGTAAATATCTTTAAAACAAACATAACACAGCCACGTACAATATTCATATGACTGCTACTATGGCAACTGGAACTTTAAATTACTATAATTAAATTACTATCAAATTACTTAAAAGCCTGGTACAATCCATTTGTTTGAGATTATCAAGTACTTATACTTATCCAGTTGTGTTCTAGTATAATTATTTAAAAGCCAATCTCTCTTTTTATGTTAAGTTTCTATTCTCATTTCATTTCCATTTTCTGGTGTTTGCTGGGATATTTCCCTGGTAGGTCTACAGTGGGTAAAAATTATCCAGTGATGGAATAGTCACCCTGCCTTCACCTTAATGTTGATTTCACCTCAATGTCTGATGTCAGCTCTCTTGACTAAATATGAAAGGATTCACCAGTAGAACATGGGTGGATGAGAAAAACAATAGTATTGATGGTATAAGCCGTGATATTCTGAACAAAAAATATTTAGTATTCTCACATTAAATGAGCAAACAATTCTCTTGGTAACGCCTAAAACAAGAAAAAGTTGTAATCAAACATGCAGACGCAAACAAAACACCTAACAACAGATTTAACAACCAAAGAGCAAACAAGTAACAACAAACACTAATCAAACAGCAATCTGATTATTTAAAAGAGAAACCTTTGTAATTTAAACCAAAGACACGGATCACTGTCTGAGACAAAGAGAAAAACAATGTATTCTTTTGGATCTAGAAATAGAACCCGAGCTTACACACAGCTGCTTCTTACTTAAATCTTTATTTAACATTAGATACCTCACTGGGATTCCTCCCATTTCCCCAAATTTTGTTTAACTTGACTGTTTAAGTGTAATGATTCCACTTGGATGCTACTTTCAAGATTTTTTAAAAGTGACTCACCACTGCATCCTTGGTGGTTTATGATGGATGGTAATAAATATAGTAGTTATATATCTATGACTCATAGATGCAGTAAAATATTAGGGAAGAGTGCCATAATACTTTCCTAACAGATAACACATTTTTCAGATGCCACTATTGACACTTATTTAGCAGTGCGACTAAATTACTCTGAATTTATTAGAAGCTATTATTATTAGAAGAGTATCTGTAGAGGAACATGAGACACTATGTTCCAGTGTACCCAAAGCTGAGAGGAGGAAAACGACCTGTGTCGACCATGTACCATGTACCATGACAGAACAAAACCACTAGAGTTAAAACTACGATCCTTTGCAATTATTTGCAATACCTTTGCACACAAGTTATGCAGCAAAGTACTACGACGATGTCGGGGCCTGCGTTTCACTTTATCTCTACTGCAGGATTACTTATGCGCACAGACCACAAAGGCAAAGTCGTAATTAACCACCTATAGAGTTCTTTATTTGCAAACTAATCCATCGCCTTTTTACCCGTTAGAACAGTTTCTACGACACACTGCACTTGTTACACTGCATTTCCACGAAACAATTGACTACAGATAAACTTTACTTTTATATGCTGTCTGGCGTAAATAAGTACGGAAGAAAAGCGTCGACAAAAAGCTATGAAATATGTGTAATAAGCCGCTCCACGGTTGCCGACCGAAAGGCTTTAATACGTGTTAAAGTTGTGTTTTATACCCATGGCTTATTCGCTGCAGCCCGCGTGTTAGACAGCTTATGAGTTACACTGCGTTAGCCAACTTCTTGTTAATGAGGCAGTGTAATAACAGTGTCTTTACAGAGCTGTGCATAGAAACTGCAGGAGTCGTGTGATCTTCAACAGAATCACTGCCTCAGGTTTGCATGTTTAATGTTGTTTTTACTTTTGTGGTTCAAGCCATAAGGAAATGCTGTTTGACTAAACATGTAGCCACTTAGCTTAGCATTCCTACATGCAGTAGCTGCAGCTAAATTGTTAGCGCGCGCATAAACAGCTGTGCTAACTGAAATTAGCCCCGCGGTGGTTTTGAAATGCCACCAACATTACATTGTATTAAAATAAAATTCAGAATCATTTCAGTACGTCAAGGGTGCTTGTTATTTCTCAGTCTGGCAGAAAATACACCCAAGATTTAATAAAGCTCTTATTAGTTTGTTACAACGATTGAGTTAGCCACAGCAGGCTAATGCTAACACCTTTGTTTTGCTTGGCTAACTCTTATTCATTTTACAAAGTACACCAGTTTGGAATGCGTAAGCGTTAACGCCATGACGAAACACTACAATAGCTTTATAGATTAAAGTACTACTCTGGAACTTACCTGAAATAAAAACGTACTCCAGCTCGGTTCCATGGCAACACTTGAGCTAAAATCTGCAGGAAACCTGGTAGGAGTCTACAACAAAGCAGCCGAACATGGCAGCTACAACTTCCTGTGTGAGCCCCGGGATGGACAGTCAATGGGATATTTTTCGGACCATGTAGAAAGGTCTGTCAGTTTTATTGTGTTTGTCGAATTTTTTAATTGTATAAATATATATTTTTGAATAGCACAAAATGGTGTAATAAATCAAAGTAAGGTGAATATTATGTTTTTATTGGGAACTATGTTTTGATAAATTTTTAAATATTGTATGTGTACAATTTTATGTGTACATTATACGTTGTTGGGCATTTTTACATATAGTAATATACATTGTATTTCATATGAACGTGTATTATATGTAATTACAATGGTAATCTATATATTTTTAGCTATTATTGCATTTGCTGTGTTGTCATAACTGTTATATAATAATAATAATTATTATTATTGTTGTTGTTGCCTTCTATTTGTTTAACACATTTCAAATCATGTGGGAAATGGCATGAACATGCTACTACTACACTGCTAGATCTTTGTTTCACTTTGGTTTTTTAACTAAAAATAATTTTTAAAAAAATGAATTACACATTTATTATTGCAAATAGTAAAATATCTTGGAAATTCCAGGGGCATTTGTCCAGAGACGTTACTAATTCCTCACCTAGTTGTTGGCAACACGTATGGTAATTCAGATTTAGAAATGTATCACAGTAAATTCATTTGTAAAACCCCGGTACCTCACACCTCGTCTGTGTTGGTCAGTTTTTTCTGAAGAATGCTGATCCAACCTCCCACTGAATTCCAACCTGGAGCAAAGCGCTCATTATGTATCCCACTGTAGATGTGTGTGTCCATGAGATTCAAATGATGGAGCAGAGTCTGGGAAAGATTTTCACTTGTTACCAAAGGAGAGCATAGACCATGGTTATTGTTTCTGGAATTGGTCTTTACGCTAATTTGGAAAAAAATATTGGACCTGCCAACTGTATTTTGCTTCTGTTAGTCATTGCTGAGTCATTTTAATGATTGGACTGAGAACTATACTGGATCAACCTTTTCTTAGCTTTTAGTGCTCTAGTTCAATTATTAAAAAAACAAAACAACAACATACTGATTTCTTTCTTTCTAACTTGTATTTACCATGTTAGCTTTATACAGAGAGGTTTTTCTTTTTCTTTTTTTTTCACGAGCCTCCATTGTCTCTCTTTTCCAGCTAGCTCTATGTACTTTCTGTTAGACTGTTCCAGGCTGTTCAAAAAAAGAACCCCCCACTGTGTTGTGAAATCTTTGTTGTGCACTGTACATCATCAGCCTTTGTGGCCACATAGTGCAATTCCAGTTTCAAGAGAAGTGGGTCAACTTGTGTGGTCAGCCTGTTTACCTTTCCCATGCCCAACAAGTTACTTTCAATGGGGCTTTAGGATTTTAAAAACAGCCATTAAACATGACATGGCAAAGCCCAGATGTGAAATATTAATTCTGGAAAGCTCAAGATCACTCTAAGGTAAGTTCAGATATCTTTTTCTGTTTAATATTAAACACATGTTTTAGAAGAGATTTCTTAATGGGTTAGGTAATTACACATGTTTTAGAAGAGATTTCTTAATTTTACAGATGCATTGTTGGCTTATTAGTTCCAAAGAAAAGTTATTTTTAGAGGTTGGGGTGTTAAAGTTAGTTACGTAATTTGAAAAAAACATTCAAATATGCTACTGAAGGCTAATATTTATTTAGTTATTTTACTCTATGGTCTGTATTGTCATTGCACTTACCCTGGACCATAGTTATTTTTGAACAATTGAATATTTATATTGTCATGTTTAGTATTGTATGGCAAGGCTTTAATGATTTACTCTGAATTTTATTTTATGGTTATATTTATTTATGATTATTAAAATTGTTTATTACAACTGAATAATTGTTATTGCCATAAATGTGTGTTTTTATAAAGCATAACTATAAAAGCAGACATGTAGCCCTAATTGTAATTTTTGTAATCTTACAAATGATAAAACTACAATAGGTAGCCATACTGGTTCTGAACACGAGGGCTTCTCAGTTTCCATGAGCAACAATCCTGACCCAGGAGTATGTAGCAGGTGTAACCTCTTGTGGACAAATAGGACACACCTTGATTCCAACTAACATGAAAAGTTTATTCAAACACTGATTCTACGATTTGCTGGTTCAGACATTCAAATGTGTTTGCTATGTAAACAATTCTAACTAAATTGTCGTTACTTTCCCATCAGCTCCAGCCATGGGTGACTGGTCTATACTTGGTCGCTTTCTATCAGAGGTCCAGAACCACTCCACTGTGATTGGTAAGATCTGGCTCACCATGCTGCTTATCTTCCGCATCCTGCTGGTGGCGCTAGTGGGTGATGCTGTGTACAGTGACGAGCAGTCAAAGTTCACCTGTAACACTCAGCAGCCTGGATGTAGCAACGTCTGCTATGACACCTTTGCCCCTGTATCACACCTGCGATTCTGGGTTTTCCAAATCGTTCTGGTCTCCACACCGTCCATCTTCTACATCGTGTTTGTGCTGCACAAGATCGCAAAAGATGACAGGCTTGACACGCCGAGAGCAGAGGCCGTGATTCAGAGGCCTTCCGTACAGAAATGTGTCGACACAAGGAAGGACGGCATGGAGGCACTGATGGTTGGAATGCCCACTTACTGTCCACACCGTGCCGAGGAGTGGGAGGTGAGAGAGAGGGATGATGTGGAGCAGAGTTCTCCACAGGAGGACTACAGCAAAGTGGGAGAGGACCCAACCCATCAGTCCAGCCAAGTCCTACTCATCTACATCCTCCACGTGTTACTGCGATCTGTCATGGAGATCACCTTCTTGGTGGGCCAGTACTTCCTGTTTGGATTCGAGGTGCCACACCTGTACCGCTGTGAGACCTACCCCTGCCCTACTCGCACGGACTGCTTTGTGTCACGAGCCACTGAAAAGACCATCTTCCTGAACTTCATGTTCAGCGTCAGTCTGGGCTGCTTCGTGCTCAACATCGCCGAGCTCCACTACCTGGGCTGGGTCTACATTTTTCGTGTCCTGTGCCTAGCGTGCTCCTCCTGCTGCAGTCAGAACAGGGACGCGGTCAAACTGTACCCAAACCACAACCCGCTGCTGCTGCACCTCAGGCATTCTCTGAGAGGTCAGCTCGTTGTCCAGACTCCTGCAGCCCTGCCCGCTGAGAAGGCGACAGGTTTGCTCCGTCACACCCCTGCTATATCTTTTGAGACAGATTCAACGGTGGAATGCACCTCTAAGAGAAGTCCAGAGAGCAGAGACAAGGTGAAGGTCAAGCTGGCCAACATGACCAGACTAGGACGTACTAAAAAGTCCTGGTTGTGAAAAACAGGACAATTGATTCAAGACAGTTGTCGCTGTTGGCGTTCATATTTCTCTGTGACTGACAGAGGAAAGGGAACTGGATAAATAAAGTCCTTCACCTGGTTACAGATTGATTTTGTTTTATTTGATGAGCCTGTCTTTGTATAATGGATCAAGGATCTTTGGAAAAACCGAGTCAGCAAAATCAGCCTTTGTATAAATGCTGATTGCGTGTCTCTGCTCCTAAAACATCAATATGCTGCGTCCAACAACTCATACAAAATATTTTCATAGCCAATTATTAAGCTCTTGCAGTCGTAAGCCGCTTTGCATTGTGGTCTTTAAAATTCCTCCAATGAACAACGCACTAAAACTCATTAAATCCATCCACTAGTTTTATTGCATGGAAAAGTTATTTGGGATAAAAAATGAACATCATCCAAAAAAAGATAAAATATGCATTAAATAGTAAATAATATAATAGCTTATAATTTATATATAAAAAATGTTTTTTTTCCCCCAGCAGTAAACAAATCCCATTTTCACCTGTCTGCAGGCTATTTTTATTGTGCTGTGCGTTTTCATTTCCAAGCCGGCAATAATTCTTAAATAGAAAAGTCACATGCACTCACAATTTGCTGTATAAGGAACATCTGTCCAACTGCATATACATGCATTTTCTAACCAGCCAGGCAGCAGTAATGGATGTAAAAGTGCTGATCTGCTAAGATTTTCACAACTACTAGGCCCGAGTTTTCCTGCCCTTCCAGTGTGTTATTTGGTAAACATACTTAAATCAGGTAATAACAGGTACTGCATTTGGAGGTTAATGGTCAAAAAGAAGAAAAATTAGATTTTTTTTTAAATTTTCAGGCAATAATACCGTTACCCCAATAGGTGAAGCCCAGACAACAACTTCACCCATTGTGAAAGCCAAGTACAACGAAAGAAAATTCGAACATATTATGAGGCAACACAGATAACATGTTCATTATTTGTAAGGACAGCGTTGTGCCTACGTCATCTTTAAACACATTCAACGCAACATTGCATGGGACAGCGTTGTGCCTACGTCATCTTTAGACACATTCAACCCAACCCTGAATAAAGATTGATTCACATAATGAATCAAATCAGTTGATTTTATTTTTACCTCATCGCTGCTATCCGATTGGAGCTCCTTATTTATTCGTATCAACAAAGCGAGTCGAAATGGTATTCAGCTACTGATATCCAGCAGATGGCAGTAGACATCAACATGAAGCGGACTACAGTTTTATATTATTCAACACCCACAGTGCTAATGTTTACACACTGACAGAAAACCAAGTCAGGTCATTTAATTCCTTCATTTCGTATCTCTACTGTACCACAAGAGTTGGACACGAGGATTTATATCAACCTACAGACAGACGTCCCTTATTAATAAAAGCAAAGAAGAAATGCCCATTACTAAATAAAAACGACATTTATATTTGTCTTTGTGCTCTGGGTGAAAGTACTGGACAGCACTTGATGTTTAGAAGACGTTTAATAAATCACCTGCCTTAAATAATTATATAAAAATCTCATATTTACTAGATATTAGAAGCAAGATATCGAAGTAATGAAAATTAAAAATATTTCTTGTAAATCGAACACATAAAAACATACAATTATTTAAATAAATGATCTTTAACAATCAATTAACTTAAAAACATATCTGAAAAAAATTATCTGTACACCCTGCAATTTTCTCTTGTACCACTGAGGGTCAGCGTGCCCCTGGTTGGTAAAGACTGCACTAAACTATTTGTCTGCTGGCAAGGTTAAATCTTCGTATCTATGTTTAGGTCAGCTTCTCCACCATTACTCCAGCAGAGATATCTGTGATCTCTTCCTCATGTTAAATCTTTTTTTCCCCCATGTGTAAGCTGTTGGTGATTTTTCTATTCAGGTCTCAGTCACTGTCTTCACAGCCGGGTCTCTGATTGGGTGGGTGGTCCAAGGCATTTCAATCTTAGATCAAATTAGATAAGGGTCTGTGACGGATCACAAGGGGTCTTTGCCAATTTGCAGAGTGCTTATGTGAATATTTCATTCTCTCTGACTTCCACTAAGAACTTTCCGTTGACTTGAATCAGGTCAAACATCTCCACCCACCTCACAAGGTGGAGTGGGTGGAGATGAGTGTCGGGGCTACTGTGTGACAGAAGGGAAGCAGCCAGAGTGAAAAAAGAAGGCTGTAGTTCGACCTGCTAAGATGAATAGTTTGGAGATTAGGGGCGGAGCTGGCGTGGCAGAAATAAAGACGCTCAGATCTTGTTAGTGACCAGGTTAGATGGATTAGAAGTAGGGATGTCCGATAATATCGGCCGATCGATATTATCGCCCCGATATTAGCATAATTGTGTGATATCTGTACGAATCCTTATCGGGCTTTCCTTCGATAATGAAAACTCGATAACGCAATGCCTGGGTTTCGCCAAATGACTATGCCCTAAAAATAGTTGTGGCAAAAGACGGCTGTGTATGAAAATGAAAGTCACTAGATGGCAGTATTGCAGCTCATTTTATTCATCTATTCTAATAATCAAGGGATTGTATTCAGAATGAGTATATGATGGACCAACGATGTTGGACATCGAACTGGGACAAAGGAGAAACTGAGACAAGGTTCCAAGGAAGAACCCGGGATGTTAATGGAGGAGGACAAGAAGAAATGGATGGTGTACAAGCTAAGGAGTCTTTGTGTTGTGTTTTGCTGGTGGCTATTCCTCAAGGGAGCAGCTGAAGAAAGAGAAGATAATGATGACTGCCAATCTCATGTTGACTGGGGGGCAATGAGCCAGAACTTGCAAAACTCATTGGCAAGGAGTTTATCAGGCTATAGTGTGAACTAGACTGTGACCTATATCTTAAATTCACACATCAGCACACTCAAAATGTCTCTGCGTGTTAAGCATAACAACACACCAGGCAACACAATTAAGCTGCTGTGTAATGTGCATCATAATGTGAAGTGAAATATAAATGATAAAACAACAAGTCACTTTGGTGCCACCAGTCATCAGAGTTCGGCGTAATAAGAGTAAAACCACGGTAATGGCTGACATCACTAATTGCGTATTCGTTCATACAAAGGTCAATAAAAGGTCAATGATTTTAACATTTATATTTTGGTGACACCGTTGATTAATGGTTCCACATTTGTACAACTCCATTCTAAAACCAATTACCATTAATTCCCAGCTCCTTCTGACTGATTTGATTTCATGACAATAAGCTAATGATAAACATCTGGGAGAATATCATATTAAATGTGTTCAGGCTGAAGATTTAAAGGTGCTTCATATCTGGAGACAAAACATTGCAAACCCTTTAAAAAGAAAGTTACCTCGTAAAAATGCAATGAAGCCAAAGTCTGTAGTTTGTTTCTTTTTTACCTGAACCTCAACGTAACACACAAAGGAATGGAGAAGAGACACAAATGTCACTGAGCAAGAAGGAGAGACCCACGAAAGGCTTGGATTTCTCAAACAAGAGCAGATTACAGTATGACTCACCAACATCACAAAAGAAATGTTTGTATATTTTTAAACTCTTCTCAGTGCAGGGAGAGTAAAACAGTCAAGCACAAACCAATCAACAGACAACAGGAAGGTGAAACGTGTCAGTGGGTCTGGAGGGTCTAGGGAGGTCTGAAAGGTCTGGAAACTGCTGCTGAAGGTTCAGGACCTTGAGCCGCAGCGTCAGGGGTCTGCAACCTGAATACTGAAACAGCCATTTTTTATAGTTTAACAACCAAACAAAATCCACTTAAAGCCACAAACTAATTTTTAAACCTCGGCGTTTGGTGTTCTTTATCCTACTTTATTTTATGTGGTCTATTTGATGGGGACTATAAATGACAACAGGGAAGGAGATGCTTGGTGACAGATTTAGCCACAGGCTAACGTTCATCTACAGTCCCTGGTGTTGTGTTTGAAACAGCTATTGTACCATATGGAAACAACATTTGAATTAATTTATTAATTCGGTTTTTTTTTAACTGCCAAATAATCTCTGCACTGAAGATAGGGAAATGGGAGGAGCTACAGTCATCTGACAGGGACGTGGTTCACCCTGGACAGTTTACAGTCAACAAACTATTTCCACTCACAATAACATCTACGATCAGTTGAGATTTTCTGATGATCCATGTTATTTGACTGTGGGAGGAAACCTGAATATATATATATATAAACATTCACACCAAACAAAACAACTCTATATGGAAAGACTGGGGGTTGAACTGGCAAACTGGTGACCTTTTTGCTGTAAGGCAATAGTGCTAACCACCTCTGCCCTCAATTGGCTTCCTCTAAACTCATTAATTAAATTCCCCAAACAACCCAGGATGGTGGGAAAATAATCATTATGGTTGAGAAAGAGCTACTAGTTCTCTCTATTAAGGAAAAAAAGGGAGTGTGTTTTTTTGGTAAGAACGTACTAGAAAAGTACCCCTTGATAAACATACAGTATTTTTACAATTTAACTGATACACAGTGAATTTACTTTACAGGCAGGGACAGTAAAAGCCTATTATTTGTCATTTTACCTCCTGAATTCAATACCAAATATATTTTACCTGACAATGCATTTTTGACTAAACTTTTCCCGGAATGAGGTAATGTTCCATAGATACACTGATGATGCAGCTTTATTTATGGAGACATTTATTCCTTTATTTTCGCGTATTGAAGGTCCGTTAGCGCGTGAAGTCTGTCACTTTGAATCTGTGTTTTTGTTGAAGACGTCGTTCATTTTCTGCAGCCCGCATCCCCTGCTGTCTTAATGAAGTGATCTTTTCAGGAGTCGAACATCTGACATGAGAGTGCAGCTTCAATGACGCAGGAAGCCTCGGATCATATCCGCTGCAGCAGGTCATGTCATTGAAGGGATTCACATGTCTATTTGGGGTCGATGTGGGCGGGGTTGTGGAAAGTGACGTCAGAGTGTTTGGTCGGTGACAGTGGAGGAGGGACCGGAGCACAGACCGGACTGATCCCACGTGTGACGGACGAAATAAGCGCTGCCTGCATTCCCGACACCGGATCTCCAACCACTCCCCGCTCTGCTCCGTCTGCCGACCTGCCGTCTGCTTGTATCCGTCTGTCACTGCCTGCAGCTGGGTCAAAAATGGAAGAAGACGGCGGCCAAGCACCGTCAGGAAGCCCGGCTGATCCTCAGCACGACCCGGGGTAAGCTCATTTTATTCACCAGTGTTATAAACGCGTGTTTTATTGTTTTTGAAGTACGACCGCGTACCCTCACTTCAAATGCACACGTTTTTATTCGGTTTGTGCAAACACACTTGGTTCCCTTCCCCTGAAAGGACGTCCGCGGAGTGTCCGCCTGCCCGTGTCCCATATGTGCCATTTTACGCGTAAAGCCCCGCACACCAACTTCCCTTAGAAACGGTACAAATTTACATTTGTGCACTTTTTTGAAGAGACACACACAGAGGGTCGAACCGTGAACTTGAATGAATTCCAAGCGTCATCTGCTGAAGTCGGCATATTGTTTGCTCCGCTGTGACGCACTGTATCTCGGGAAGCTGAAGGACAGGTGATAAGATTTTACCCTGGAACCACTTTCTAAAGTTTGAGCTGCTCTGTTGTGATTATCTCATCACATAGAGGCTGTGCTGACTGAGATGAAGGCTGTGGCAGGTTGTTCACAGCCCAGTGTGTCTCTGACTGTGCTGAGCAGTCAGGTGTGGAGAGTGGAGCAGGTTCACAGCAGGATCCCTGCACCGCCTCACGCTTGCTTTCACTTGTTTCCAGGCAGTCACTCGGGTCTTGGTCAAGCTGCCAGATATATGTGTGTGTTGTGCACATCTAGATTGAGGCTGTGTCTTCAGGTGTGTCCAACACCTCGAATTACACGACCGCTACTGTTATCATCACACAGTAACCATTGCAGAAGTTGTCCCAGAGGTGGCGGTGTTCTAATTCAGTGTCCATCCTTGTTTTTTTATAGCTGTCTTTGTTTTGTTTTTTTCGTTGTTTTTTGCAAGATTTTATAAAGTAGTTTCAATGTGATACAGCAGGGGGCGCTTCGAGGTCAGCATAACCTCAAATCACCTTTTACCCATCACCAAGGAAGACATTTCCATTGTTGCTAGCAAACAAACCAGTAATTCTAATTGGCTAAATGTGAAACACTTAAAAAAACTGTCATTCTAATTGGCTAAATGTAAAACACTTAAAACCAAAACTATTTTTTTTTTACAAGGATTCTTCAATAAAAAATGATTATCTCCGCGTCTGAACTCGGGGCGTACACGTGACAAATTGGCAAATATCTTCCAAGGTCGTGCGTTTCACTAAATAATTGTTTGAACTCGATTTTCTTTAAAAAGCGACATCCCTAACTCCTCGTCTTTGTTGTATTCAGAAAAACAAAGGGTGTTCTGGTCTGCACCAGATCCACGCACAGAAAAAATGAAGAAGAGTAGTAATAGTTTGAAGGACAAATTACAGCAGAATATCACAAATGTTCTGGATGCAAAACGTTATGAAACATCAAGAAAAAAAGAAGATGTTTTAAATGGTTTGCTGTGGCTGATGGGAGTTCTGCGTCACTGCGTCTTGATGATGATCAGACCTTCACTTTTCCTGCACCTGTGTGTCCAGGAGCTCTACCATAAATACAGTATCAGCAATCTCGTTAGCCAAGGTACACAACACGGATTGGTCGGTTATCTGATTTTATCGTGAGCAGCTAAGAGGGAGGTAAATTCGCCCCGAAAATATCTGATCTGGGGAAATATCGATTTGTGCTTGAGTCTGAACTGTCCTGTTGAACCAAACGTCATAATGGAAACCTGCTCTGATTAATGCTGTCTTTTCACTTGGTAGGAAAATGTTTATTGGTGGCCTCAGCTGGCAAACTTCACCAGGTAAAACATGCTCTTTTCCTGTCTCTCTCTCTCTCTCTCTCTCCCACCGTCCTTTGTCCATCACATTACATTATTGTGTGTGTTTGTGTGTGTGTGTGCGTGTGTGTGTTATGCATGTAAGGCCATTGCGGTTTCATGTCCTCCATTTGACCCCTGTGTTACTGTGACATTCACTGCTGCAACAAACATTAATCTTAATTTAAGAGCAAAATAAAGATGACATCTAACCAGAACCTTCTTTGTCCCGCTCTCCTCCACAGACAGCCTTAGAGATTATTTTAGTAAATTTGGGGAAATCAGAGAATGTATGGTGATGAGAGACCCGACAACAAAGCGTTCCAGGTAAATGAAGAGAAACATTTTCAACCTTGGAGTGAAAAAAAATAATAATAAAAGAAATCCGTTTTTTGCTGGACTAAGAATTCATGGACTAACAGGATAATACCGTTTGACATTGACCAAGGAGCTACGGAAGACATTTCCTGTCTTGCAGTTTATTATGGGATAATCTTTTTAAAAAGGTAACGGTCTTTAACTCTGTGGTAGGTCGGAGGACAAGGGAATCTGCTGATGTATGAACCTCAGCCGCAGGATGAAAATACTAACGGTCGCAGCTTTCTGTTCTGAGACTAATTCATCAGATGAGCACAGACTTATTTTTGACTGACGACTAATTTGACGAGCGTTTTTTTTCTTAAGTTCTATCAATTTCTGCATGGATCCTAAATCCAGGCAGTTGTTGTTAGCAATGTTGAGGAAAACAGTGACGCCATCTGCGGAGGCGTTTAATTACAACCGTCAGTCCCTTTCGGAAGTGCCACTTGATTGGTCAAATGGATGGATTTGCTCGGGATCACAAACTGAATCTAGCCGAGGCGCAGGTGTTCAATAGGAGGAGGCAACAACCACAAACTTGGTCTTTTCATGCAAGGAGAGGTCGTAGCCCGCAGACCAAATCTGTCTCTGATGGAAAATGTCAGCCGCATCAGGAAGTAGAAAATCAGACAAGAGCAATCGCTGACTCTTCAGCAGTTCAGGGCTTCTTATATATCACAAAAATCTGCAGTTGAAACTGCATTAATCAGCATCCTGTGCCCTTTGACCTTGAACATCTGACAACCAAAACACTGTGTTATGCTTTGGAAATATGATACATGAGGAACTCACCAGTTGTGTGAGATTAGCCGTGGAGTTCCTTCGTCATAGTGTTGCTAAAAGAAGAAAGAAACCAGTGAGGAAGTCTGAGAAATGTGTGTATGTTTTTGTTTTGTTTTTGATTGTCATTTTCTTTTTCTGTGGTTTCTCAACAGGGGTTTTGGTTTCGTCACCTTTGCAGATGCTTCCTGCGTAGACAAAGTCTTAGCGCAGCATCTCCACGAGTTGGACTCTAAACGGGTACGAGCACCTGTTCTTTTTTGCTGCTGGTTTGACTTATTCTGCTTTTCTCTGCTGTACATTTTTCTTTCTCCTTTTCACCTTAAAGAGTTCAAAGAAAATGTGTTTTTTTTTTTTATCACAACTGATGTACAGTAGTGGTCCCTGACCTTCTTTGTACCAAGGACTGGTCGGCTGGTAATACCGCGCCATTGTTGAAGGATCATAAAATTTTCAAAATAAAACATCTTTAATAATCATGACAGATTATCTTTGAATGAAAACAGTAAAGGGATATGACGGGATTTTTTTTTAGAATGAAGTAAATTACTGAAATGAAGTATATTTTTATCCCCCCCCCCCACTGCGGCCCGGTACCAAATGACCAACGTACCGACACCGGTCCCCGAACCGGGGATTAGGGACCCCTGATGTACAGTATTTATGTTGTGGTGTGGTCAGCTACAACCGTTAATACTGTAGTAAATGTGGGTTACTCCTGGAGACCTGGAATGATTTGGATATTTTTCACAGACGTGGAGTTCTTCCTTGATAATGGACTGATCTGAGATCATTGAAGAGGACAATTACTGTATCCTGGCAGACATGTTTGTCACAAATGTCACCAGGATCTAAAGTTGAATTCAGATACTGTGGTTAAAGGGCAGCGTGACCTTCTCCTTGTGTATACACCGTCCTAGTGTCACTTTGAAAATTGTACATTAGCTTTGGCGTGAAACAGTCATTAGACCGAGGTGGGTTTTTTTTTTTAAACTAGTGATTGAAGGTGAAAAATCAAAGTCATTCTTCCTCGCTGCATCCCAGTTCTGTCCTTGTAAACACATTTTAAAAATATGCCTGGAGGGAAATCTCGTACACTCTGCCCAGACTGTTTCTCAGATTGGAGGATGAAAGAATTAGGTTATTGTGATCAGCCACTTAAAACATGTTTGATGGAGAAAAACACAAACACGTTTGAAGCCTTTCTATTCACGTGACCCTCAGAGGATAGGCAGTGTCAGCCAAGCATGGAAGGATGTTTCAGGTGCCTGTGAAGCGGGAGAAAAACTGTAAGTGACAATGGGAGCTGGGTGTTTTCAGTTCTAAGGTAATTGGTGAGCGAACATGGCTGCCTGAACAAAGTAGGTCAGCGTGGAGGGGACAGCTGTGGAGCTCCTGACGGTGGAGGTACACAGGTATTGGAATAAACACATGCACCCAGGCATTAGCTGCTCTTTAATGAGTTTATGTCTGCTGTAAGATATGTCAGGGCGACATGGGAGCGCAGCTCTTGATAGCAGATAAAGTGAGAGTGCACTCACCAGCATTGATCCAACGGAGGACGTGGCAGATTTAACACTGGTCTGATCCATAGAAGCCATCACTGTGATGTGCCGCTTGTTTTCACAAAAAAAAAAAAGAGAGAAGAAAAATCAAATGAATTTCATGTGAAGCCTTATATTGTTGACATTTAGCCCCTGCCAACACACTCGCACTGTTCCATTTTTGCATAAAAATCTTGTAATTTTATTGCTAATGGCCTTTTCTGCGTTCCTGGCAAAGTGCCTGCCAAAGCAGAGTGTGTCAGAGTGAAGGACAGTCGTGCAAAGTTAAGTACTGCCTCTCTTTTATTTTTCAGCACAGATGCATTAATGGTTTGTGAGTGACACTCTGGTGGAAGGGGAATTTTAGCCTGTTCTCCGCTGTAAAACCCCAAATATGCAGCTTTTAGAGGCTTATGTCGTGTTTATCTGCTCAGACCGACTGCTTAGCTTACTTGCTAACAGCAAAATGACAACGTCACGTCTCACTGGCCAAGAGAGCGTCTGAGGTCACGCTGCCTTTGCTCAACCTTTATCAATAGATACTGTCTCTGCAGATTTAAAATTTAAAACATTTCCCACAGTGGTTTGATTGATTTTTATTTTTTTAAAATTATTTTTGGATTTCAGACCAAAAGTGGCAATGTTACTTTTTCATTGATGAAGGTGTTGCCTAACAGCTGGTCCACTTAATAATAATAACCTTTTATAAGTAAGTTCTGGTCCAGTGAAATCTGGATTCTTGATAAAATTCCAGGTTAAGGTTTAAATATTTATCTTGTGAAATGGAGGTGTGTCTGGATGCGGTGGAAAACCAAGTGGCCTTGGTTCAGATCTGTGCTGTTTTACTGTTCTTTACTTAGCTATGACCTTGTTTCAGTGCTGGCAGTGAAAATAAGTCCAGTTGCCAGAGGGTTTTTTTTTTTATTGATGGATTGATTGACTGTCCACTACAGACACAGATACAGGTATATGTGTGTGAAATACTGGATTTCTTGGAACCACTACATAAAAATAACCAAATCTTTGTGATCTTTTTCAATCTGCATGATTCTGTTTTGCCTCTTTCTTTATAATAATAATTTTTGTGTTTATACATTTTTTTCTGTGCTGATTTTGACCGACTGTTTTTTCGTCTTCCTGCAGATTGACCCTAAAGTTGCTTTTCCTAGGCGTGCTCAACCTAAGGTAAGCAGACCTTCTATCTGTCCATACACACACACACACATAAATATATATATTTTTAACATTCCCCAGCCCCTAACTCTAACCTAAACAATTACAAATATAAATCCCAATCTCAGTCCTTTCCCTAACTCTAATCTGACCCTAATTCTAATCCTGATCACAAATGAAATATTTATATCCTGAAAATACCCTCTCAAACTGGGGGAACCTGCAAAAAGGTCCCCAAGAGGACAAATTGTCCCCATAAGTATGTGACGTTAGGTAAACACAAACAAACACACACAAACAAACACACACACACACTTGTGATTAGAAATGCATTTGTGTGACGATGAAGCGATGCTGCTGAGCGTCTGTCGTGGAGTGTGTGTCGTGGAGTGTGTGTCGTGGAGTGTGTGTGTGCTCTGAGTAGTTTGAAGATGAGACGCTGCGTTTGCGTACTGTCAGTGTATGTGTTTCTGACTGAGTGCATCCACAACGTTTGTTGACTTTGCTGGAGTCTGGTTATCACGGGAAGCGGGAGAGAACGCTGTAACGTCGCTGCCGTGCTGCGGCTTTTTAAAGGGAAAATCTGCTCTTTTTTTTTTTTTTTAAAGTCAGATTGTTCTGATGAACCGAGAAGCAGCAGGTGGGAGTTTTTCATCTACCGCGGTAGATGAGATAGCAGACCTTTCCCCCTTGTGGGACGGCGAGGTATTGCCGTTGCCGGCACGGTGACACCGGCACACAATACCTGATTACAATACCTCACCATCCCACAGCTGTGGGGGTGAGGTAATAATAGGTGATATTCCAATGTGAAGACAATGTCAGCGTACACCGTTGCAGTGATAATGAATATAACAAGGCAATCATGGAAAGATTCACTGTCTACCTAAGGAATACACCGTGTCTCCGAAAAGGTTAAGTGCCAGATTTGGATGAGTTACGTTCCTTTTTTGCTGCCATTAAACAGCAATTACCGTCTTCATCCAGTTAACTTTTGTGAACATAACCCTCATTCCCGCCATAATAAATGTTTACTTGCTTTTATATTACCCTCATTTATTCGGTATCATCCAGTCATGAAGCGCAGCAGTGACGCCGGCGTGTCACACTGAGGGAAGTGTCATAATTTTGAGTGAAATGTCAACATCTCGCCTCATATTTGTCGAGTCACGACGACAAATATTGATGTATTGGAATTTGTTTCCCCATCTTTTTCTGTGCGGTATGGGGCTGAAGTTTTTGACATGTTTTTTTCCCCTTTGAAGATTCATTGCAGTTGGCATCTGTCATGTTTGTTTTGCAGCTCCCTTCTTCTCTGTGCCGCCTGTGCACACCTCTGGTTTTGTATGTGTCCAAACTGTTTTGGCAGACGCCATGAGAGCTTTGGTATCTGTCCTGCCTCAACCATTTGCATTCATTATTTGAAAACACACGACACTGACCTGACGACATTGGCAACAATGAAAGGAGTGACAGACAGCGGGACTGTGCACAGTGAAGGGAGGGTAAAGGTCAGCCCCGATCCGCACTCCTTGCTGGTCCTACTCCTAAAGGTCAAACCACAGACTGTGTATGGAAGATAGTTATCCTTTTCTAATTTTTGAAGCTTCTCAAAAATGCAGTACACCTTGCTGGCCAGCAGCTCTGCCCCCTTCCACCCTCCAAAAAAAATCAACCATCCCTAAAATGATTTTCTTTACTCTTTAAAATACACACCCTTCTCTGACCTGAGAAATAATGTTAGATTTTTTTTTTTTTTTAATCAGAGGCTGGCGCTAAATTTTGGCATCAAAAACTATTTTTGGAAACTGAGAAAAGCAGAATTTTTTTGACATTTGACATTTTTAGTTTTAAACTGAGGTTCATTACTCACCCGCCTGAAGTCCCACCTGTCATAAAAATGGAATGGAGTTCTACCTCTATCTCAGTTCTGTTCAGAGGCACAGATTTCTCTCCATTGCAGAAGAGTTGGCTGAAATACCACTGATGGCCAGTAGTAGGCTCTGCCTTCAGGAATCTCTGTCATCCTTAGACTTCAATAAAAAAAAAAAAGAACCAACATTCTCCAAAAAAACTTTTGTGAAACGATGTTCTCAGTGGCCTTGTTGCTTCTTAATTCCTTGAAATAAGTGTCTTTTAAGCCGATTGTTCCCGTGAGTGATCGGAGCGTCGACTCCCGAGGCCGGAGCTAACTTATGATTCCAAGAAATAAACGCTTGGGTTCGGAATTTGACTGAAACTCTTTAGACTTTTATTGGATCAATATTGGAGTTAATTACTGACTTGCCTAATTTGTTACTTGTGAGACAAAAATGGAACGCAGTTCCAGTGCTCCCTAGCCATGCACTACGTTTTTTTTTGTTTTTTTTTGCCTTGATTATTCCAGCTCTGCTGCACGTATTTGTTTCCGCTGCAGAAGAACAATTAGCGCTGGCTTCAGAAAACTCTCTCTCTCTCCCAACGACTTCCATTCAAAAAAAAAAAAAAAATGAGCCAACTTCCTCTGAAGTTCTCAGTCCAACATGTCCTCAGTGGTCTGGTTCATTCTTAACGCCTTATAACAGGGGCTGTTTTAAGTTTGTTGGTCCCCTGAGTGATCTGAGAGCTAACTTCTCACTGAAGTCTTCTACTTGGAACCAAAAAGGCCGTTAATATATGCTTGGATGCCACGGAATTTCACTAGAACTCTTCATACGTTTTTCTTTTTTTGGCGGGGCAGTTTAAAAGTGAAGTTTATTACTGACCTGCCTGAATCCCCCCACTTATGAGAAAAATGGAATGCGGCCCTGGTGTTCCGTAGCCATGCACCGCTTTATTGGCTCAATGATTCCACATCCAGTTCTGCTGCAGGATCACACATTTGTTTCCATTGCAGAAGAGCCGGTGGAAGTGGGTGCTTCGGTCAGCTCACAAGTACTACCCACCCAGTGAGTGACATTAATGAGGAGAGCAGCTGAACAAATGTGTTCAAACACAGGGAGAGAGAGAGAGAGAGAGGGAGAGAGAGAGAGAGAGAGAGAGAGAGAGAGACCCTGTTTTCTCATTGGAAAGCCTTTGTTTCTAGTGTCTTTTTTCTGCCTGGGAGAAAAAAGGAGAAGTCTCTGCCCCGGTGCTTGTTTCGCCCACACACATTTTTATGTGCTGCTTCAAAGAGCGAGCAGACAGGCCTGGATGAACCTCTCTTTGATGAGAGGGATGCAGGGGCCAGGAGGCTGCAGGTATGGGTAATTTCACAGGAAACTGGTCAGCTCCTATTGGCCGTGGTGGGGAAGGATGTCAGATCACAGGTGTGAAAGACGGCATCAACTTCACGCTAACAATGGGCCTCATTTACTAAGAGTCCACACACACACACACAGACACACACGTGTCAGATATTTATCGCTAAGTTCTCCCGCGATTTGTTCTCCGCACTGGATTTTATAAATTTCCCCGTTTAATCGGACGATGAAGGCGAGGAAATTGAAACCGTCAGCTCTCTGAGTTACAGCTGTCACTCACTGCGGGAGAGGCAATAAAAATATCATACAATGTAATTCACACACATAAATATTAACGTTTGCGTTTGTGTATAAATATTAATGACAATTATTTTTAATCCGGCATCAGACGGGACATCCAACATGAAACTCTGCCAAATGAGAATCCAGGGCTGGAGCCATCCAGCCACAGATGATCTGTCATTTATATTTATAGCTTTATAAATAAATCTACTCTCCTTTTTTTTTTTATTTTTTTTTTTTTCTTTTTTTTTTTTTTTTTTTTTCTGCAGACTTGTCCAGGGCTGTGAAAGCAGCCGCAGCCGATTTTGGGCAAATGTATCAAACAGTCATCGCGTCCAATAAAAGAGATTTATGGCAGTTACATTACAGTCAGGAAGGAGACATTGTTCAAACTGAAATGTAACAATTTAGACTCGTGCTGAAAAATGTATGTGTCACCAGTGGGGGTTCACTTGGATCAAATATATATTTAATGAAAAGAGATTCAGTGGAAGTTAATTAGTCGCACAATATTATCTGTAGAAATGGATGGTGACACCAGCGCCACCTGTAATTTACAGGTGTCACCTCCTTTTACACAGTCCACCTAACTCATAATCAGTGTTTAATAACTGCTGCGCCATCACATCCAGGAGTGTCCTTCCGTGTCCTTCTGCCGTTTCCCTTTATTCTCGGCTCTGTCTGCTGCAATTTATTTTTCTGCATCCACGTTTGTTTTATTTGTTCCACCATCAGAAACTCAGTTTTCACCGCCTGCAGTTACTGCAGCCCAGGCTTTTTTTTTTTTCTTTTTTTTTTTTCCCTTTTCAACATCGTCACTCAAATAACTGGTTGTTGACAAGTGTACCTTAGAGGCTTCCTCTCCGACACCTCAGTTCCTGCTGTTGTGACATCCTCCTGTTTTTCAACCTTTTGTAATATATTTCTTACTTCTGAAGGTCCTTTCTAACACGTCTGTTTAGCAGCGTGCGTTCTTCCTCCTTTACATGTCGAAATAAGGGCTGTGCAGTATGTAGTAGATTGCAGCTTTTCAACATCCACACGCACACACACACGTACACACACACGTCAACGTCAGTTCACAAAGACTCTAAAAAGCACTAACTGCCATTGGTGGATTTCTTTCCACATGATGTCAGTTTGGTTGTGTCAGTCACCATTTGGAAGTTCCACAGGGTTTAAAAAAAAAAAACGAAGTGTCCTCTAATCTGACCTTGGAACCTTCAGGTGATTCTGAAGATCCAATGATTCTGATTCGCTGATCAGTTCAGTCGTCGTAGGGTTAGTGAATTGAAGAAAGTACAACTGGGTTTATATGCATGGACTTTTCAATATATATATTACAATTTGGCGTTTGATTTGGACTGTAGGAACCAGAGGCAGGGTCTGAGTTACATCTCTGAGATCAATCAGGGGTCACCGACCCCGGTGCCGGTCCGTAGGTCCGAGTAAACATACAGTATACATACGTATATACATATAAATTGGAAATGGTAACGGTGATCGTTA